GAAACACTGACCAGTGGAACAGAGTCGAAAGTCCAGAAGTAAACCCATGTTTATACGGGCAAATAATTTTCAACAAAAAAGCATACAGTGGAGAAAAGAAAGCCTCTTCAATAACTGGTGCTGGAAAAATTAAAAGGCCACCTGCAAAAGAATGAAAGTAGACTGCTGTCTTTGACCACACACCAAAATTAACTCAAAATGAATTAAAGACCTAAATATAGGACCTGAGACAATAAAATGCAGAAAAGAAAACATAGGAACTAAACTCAAGAATCTTGAACTTAAAGAGGGTTTATGAACTTGAACTCAAAAGCAAGGAAAGTAAAAGCAAAAATAAATGAATGGGGCTACACCAAATTAAAAAGTTTCTGCTCAGCAAAAGAAACCATCGACAAGGTAAAGAGACAACTATCTGAATGGGAAAATATATTTTCAAGCAACAGCTCCGATAAGGGCCTAATATCCAAAATATACAAAGAACTCATACAACTCAATAACAACAAAAAAACCAAATGATCCAATCAAAAAATGGGCAGAGGACCTGAACAGACACTTCTCCCTAGAGAACATATAAATGACCAACAACTATATGAAAAGATGCTAAACATCACTAGCTATCAGGGAAATGCAAATCAAAACCACAATGAGATACCATCTCACACCTGTTAGAATAGCTATTATTAACAGGACAAGTAATAACTAATGTTGGAGAGGATGCAGAGAAAAAGGAACCCTTATATGCTTCTGGTGGGAATGAAAATTGGTATAGACACTATGGAAAACAGTATAGAGGTTCCTCAAAAAACTAAGAATTGATCTACCATATGATCTAGCAATCCTTCTACAGGGTATTTACCCCAAAGACTTGAAAACCCATATCCAAAAAGATATTTGCACACCGATGTTCATTATTCCTAGTGGCCAGGACATGGTAGGAACCGAAGTGTCCTACAATAGATGATTGGTTAAAGAAGCTGTAGTACATATATACAATGGAATATTACTCAGCCATAAGAAGAGATGAAATACTGCCATTTACAACAACATGGATGCATCTTGAAATAATCATACTAAGAGAAATGAGCCAGACAGAAAGTTGAAAATCACATGATATCACTTATATGTGGAATATAAACCTAAAAGCAACAAATAAACAGGAGAAACAAACAGAGACTCATGGACATGGACTATAGACTCGTGGTTACCAGAGGGTAAGGGGTAGAGGAGGAGGGGCAGGTAGACAGGGTAAAGGGAGTCAAATATAAGGGGGTAAGGGGAAGGCGAAGTGGGTAAAGAGGATCAAATATATGGTAGCTGAAGGAAACTGGACTTTGGGTGGTAAACACCTGAAAATTATATAATTGTATTAACCAATGTTACCCCCAATAAACTTAATTTAAAAAAAACTAGATAAGAAAAATAGAAGATTTTAGAATTGTGATATGACTTGTAATTACTGAATTTCTTGGAAAACTTAGAAAAATATCAAAAACTTCATATTACTGAAAACAAGATAAAGTATTTGTATTTAATATCTTTCTATAAATTCCTAAGTTCAGTAATGACAAGAATTAAATACACATAAAAGAAACTATAAATTGCTATTTTGTACGCAAATTTAAAGAGATAAGAAAATATGATAAAATAGTGCCATAAGTTACGAGGGATACAATTTACATTTCCAGTAGCTCTGGAAATTGGTAAAATTGTTCTAGCTATAGCTGCATGTAAGTAGGGTCAAAAAACTAAATATACTCATAACAGGACTTTGAGGACTATGAATAACAGGAAACAGCTATCTATTCTATTTATAAATATTTATCTGTGTATCACTACAACTGAATATTACTGCCCCCAAAAAGAGACAAATTTGTGCATCCAAACAAATACAGAGAAGTCTATATAAAACAATGCTGGATTTAAAAAAACTAATAATGAAGCAATGAACATGTGAGTTCAGATATCTCTATGAGAATAATTTTATTTCCTTTGGATATATACTCAGAAGTGGGATTGCTAGACCATATGATAGTCTTATTTTAAATTTTTTGAGGAACTACCAAACTGTTTTCCATAGTAGCTCTATCAATTTACATTCCCAACTGTACACAAGGGTTTATTTTTCTTCATACCATCACCAACACTTGTTATCTCTTGTCTTTTTGACAATTGCCATTCTAACGGGTGTGAGGTCATACCTCCTTGTGGTTCTGATTTGCATTTCCCTGATGATTAGTGATACTGAACATTCTGTCATATACTTGTTGGCCATTTGTATGTCTTCTTTAGAAAAATGTCCTTTTATATCCTCTGCTGATTCTTTAATCAGATTATTATTATTATTATTCTTGCTACTGAGTTGCATACATCCTTTATATACTTTGGATATTAATGCACAGAAATAAAATGCCATTGGAGTTTTGATAGGGATTGCATTGAATCCACAGATGGTTTTGGATGAACAATTTAACAATATTAATTCTTCCAACCCATGAACATGGGATATCTTTGCATTTATTTGTGTCTTCAACTTCTTTCATTAATGTCTTATACTTTTCAGTGTTTAGGTCTTTTACCTCCTTAGTTAAATTTATTTTATTGTTGAGTTGGTGTTAATAAAATATGTAGTAACATTTACTGAACACTTCTTAAATGTCACACTTTTCAAAGCAATCATGTGAGGCAGACACTGTTATCATCATTCCCATGTAACAGACAAAGAAATCAAGGTTTGAGAAACTTAGTGAATTGCAAGGTCTGAAAACTCATTAGTTGAGGAGCCAGGATTCAAACTATGGTATTTGATTTTAGAGCCCAAGCTCTAAACTTCTACTGTAACTCTCTCTTCCTATTTTTATGATTTGTTTTCCTACTAGGTAGACAACTAAATAATATACAATAAATTGCAAAAACATTTTTTAAAAGTGGGAATTCATGAAGTTTTCCAATTAAATAATATCTGCTTTAGATCAAAAAGTCAAATGTTATATCAATTTCCCCAACTTGCATATCAGTATCATATTTTCCTTTCAAATCTATCTTTTTAAAATAATAATCAATAGGCTATCCTAAGACTAGAGGACATTTGATAGAATTGCCCTTATTTGGGTCAACATTAGTTAGATTTAGTTCACAGTAATTTATAGAACCTTTATTTCATTGTTTGAGCTAGAAGAACCAGGAGACTGGAAACTAAAGAAGAGAACCACTATGTTAAAAACAAAAAAATCCTTTTAAGGTCAACTCCTCAAATTTTCTTAAACAATTAATAGAATTTCATTGTAATTTTCTTACAAAGTTATAAAAGTAAGTTAGTTATATCACTGCAAATACCATTCTACAAGAAACAAATCTATAATAATAAAAAGCTTTTAATCACACTGGTTCCATAGCTAGAATTAAAGTACCAAAGAATACACTGAGTTGTAAATAGTACAGTGTAGGAAGGATAAAATGTGAACAGAAAACACATCAGGAAGAGTTCTTCTTTCTTCATGGAAGAAGAATTATATCAAAGGTCTTTTTGTTCTAAAATAAGAGAAATGAGTTTAATGTATACTAACAGCAAACCTATTAGCTAACAGGTTAGTAAAGTTAATACTAACCTCAATTAATGTTTTCTGAAGTTCGGCATATAATTTTTTTAACACTGAGTAAAAGGCAAAAAAAAAAAAAAAACCTATATTCATAAAATACCACAGGAGATATATTTCCTATTAAAAATAATTTCTTTCAGGAAAAAAATAAAAGACAACAAGAAATTACTGCTATTCTTACCCGGTCTTCCTTCTTAGGCAACTGATCCTTGATTAGTGTCTTGGTACGCCTGAGAAACCATCCAGACATCTTCTTTGCAAGCTTTTGCATAGCTTTTCGGCCAGTAGCTAGTTCTCTTTTTGTTGCTGTGTGTCTCTGACCATGTTCTACTGGGTCAGAAAACTGCTTCTTGAAGTGGATCCTGCTACCTAAAAGTCCTGGCACAGCCCTTCATAAAGGCAATAAAAAGAAGTTAGGGCTTTATTAAATTATCTAAAAAGAAAAACATTGGCTTTTTTTTTTTTTTGCTTCTGAGAAATACACTGTTGCTTCTTTGTTAATGACAGCAATAACAAAAGGCAAGTAAACAGAACATTCTCTATGACAGTTTCAGTAAATAATTATGAAATGATGACAGAATTGGTAAAATAGTTCAGATATTTACTTCATGGACCAAGACTAATACATAAAGACAGATTTTCATGAGACTTTCTATTTTATATACTATGTTTGAGATCAAACACTTCTGTTAAGACAAAAAAATGTGTTTTCCCCCCCCGGAAACTAATAATTAGCAAAGTAACATTAAATTAAAGATATACTAAATAATTTTCAAAAAAAAAAAAGTGTTTTCACTCACCAGTCCATAACACACCACAGTTCTTTCATGTTATTCTGAAGAATGGTTCCAGTGAGGCCAATGCGAACATTACATTTTAAAGCTTTCATAACTTCTGTTACTCTAGCCTTTGGATTCTTGATTCTATGAGCTTCGTCCACAATGACAGCTGACCATTCCAAACTATTAAGTGAGAAAAAAGGGAGAAGTTGAGAAAACTTTCTTTTCTTAGCCTATTTAATTTTCAGAAAGCAGCTTTCTCTACCAAAGTTTTAGAGATTTTTCCCTCTTTACTCTTTGATGATTCCATAGGATTCTCACCTAGTCAGTTAAATGACAACCCATGGAAAGAAAATGTGTATAGAGACAAAAGGGTATATAGAGAGATTCTGTTTAATGATGGTGGAATAAAAAAACTCATTTAAACATCACTAATGACAAAAAAATTTTTAAAGTAATAAGCCATTGAAATAAATATAAAATATATGAAGCAAAGCTTGCAATGTTAAATCTGAATGGAAAAAAATCAATATGAACTCATGATTTTAGCTGTCTGCTGAAAAGGTTTAGATTGATTGTTACCCCAGTAGAAATAAGCACCCACAGCAGGCAACCCACTAAAATGAACCAGAGCCCTAAGGAGAAATGGTTGATTTCAGGTGTGCTGCAGGGAAAATACTGAAGAGCCAGAAAGCACAGATGTATCCAAAGATAAATAGAGGCAGTCCAAAGGACAGAGGATCCAGGCTAATCGGAAAATTTGAGCATTACCAAGAGTGACTATAATTGAGTATAAAACATTTAACAAATAAAAACCTAGGGAGGAGTTCTAGGAAAGAAAATTAATTTAGATTCTCACCTCTGAGGAGAACCGAAATATGTCTTTGGGTTATTGACTTTCAGCTGGTTATTAAGAAACAAGACTCTGAAAGAACCTCTGACCCTCCCACTTCCTGCCTAAAGGAATTCAAATTTTTAAAAAAGCTTCAGGAAGGGAACCTTAGCATATTCATTTTAGTGTAATCACCTTTGCACATACAATCAAGTGCGGCACACAGGGAGGATCCACGCAAAACTCTGTTCTCTAAATTCTCTTTTGTGTCCCACTGTTTCTGGGTCGCTCAGCAAGAATTTGTTCACCATGTTTGCTCTTTTTCATCTACCTGTAAATTGCCTGCTTTCCATTTGAAATTCCAGATCCCTGCCCCTTTCTTCCTTTGTCCAAGGTGGCATTGAAACTTCAACTGCCCAATGGGTCTTCAGGTCTCATATCTTATAACACCCTTGAATGTACATCCATTATAAATTTTGGACATTTTCTCCATACGCTGTCTCATGTCAATTTGATTATTAGCCCAGCTAGAAAAACTTAGAAGGTGGGAGTAAAAGTATTTTTTGTGCCCTCACATCTCACAAAAATTAACTCAAAATCATCAGAACTAAACATAAGAGCTAAAACTATTAAACTTCTAAAATATAGGAAAAATCTTGTGACTCAGAGCTAGGCATACATTTCTTAGAAATGACACCAAAAGCAAGGTTAGTGAAAAAAATTTTGATAAGTTGGACTTGATTCAAGTTAAAAACTTGCTCTTCCAAAGGCACCGTTAAGAAAATGCAAAGACATGCTACAGACTGGGAGAAAATATATGCAAATCTTAATCTGATAAAAACTTGCATATAGAATATTTGAAAAACTATTACAACTCAATACAAACTTAAACAATCCAATTTAAAAGCTGAGTAAAAGATTTTAATAGACATTTCACCAATGAAGATATACAAATGGCAAATAAGCACATGAAAAGGTTATCAACATTATTAGTCATTAGTCATTGGAGAAATGCAAATAAAAACCACAAGATACCACTATAAATCTATTTGAATGACTATAATCAAAAAAGACTGACACTATCAAGTGTTGATAAAAAAAAGGAAACGGGAAGTGCTTCTCAATATGTATATGTATTTTTTGTCCTTTTACATTCACAACACTCGCATAATTAAAATCATCCGTGAAAATCACTGTTTTAGTCTCGAGGCACCATATGCATAAAAGGTTGTACATAAGATTTAGGACAAGTCTTATTCTTTAACAGACACTTTTTGGAGAAGTATAGAGGAAACAGAATAAGAAACTGTGGGAAATCTGATGTAGGTTTTTTCTTCTTAGAAAATAAGTTAATTATTCTAGACTATATCAATAATTCTGAAAGGAAATTAAATCATACGAGAGAATATCGAGAGCTTTTAAAAAATCACAATATAAAGGGAAAATCAGAATTGATGTAAGGAGAATATTAACACAATCATTCCTATTATTGCCATTACCTGTTAAGGTCATCCAGACATAAGCGCAGTGTTTCATAAGTTGTTAGAGCAACTTCACATTTCCTCTGCTTTACACGAATCAGTTCATTATCTTTTTTGTTACCATGTAAAATAGTGACTCTGAAATATCCCCAGGTGTCCAATTCATCTCTCCAGTTGTAGAGGACAGAAAGAGGAGCAACTATTAAGAACATCTAAAAGAAGAAGAAAAAAAAATTCTGATATATTCTGAAAAAATCAAAAAGAACCCTAAAGTAAAATCCAGAATATCAACAGCTTTTTTCTTTAATTTTTGACTCTGTAGTTAACAACAATAAATTAAAGGAGAAACTGGATTTATCTGAAAATAGAAGACTATCAAAATATACTTAATTGTTTACTTAGCTTTTTATTAGGACAAAATACTTTGTTCAAAGGAACAGCTATTTTTTTATTCCCCTTCCCCAAAAGCAGTTCAGAGACAAGAGAGAAATAATTTTCCAAAATGGAGAAAATAGTATAAGGATCCCTATAACAACTTCAAGGGCCAAGTGGGTAATATAAATATGCAAAACAGGCAGGTATTTTTCTTGAAATATACAGTCTTCTAGAGCTCTCTTTTCTTTTCATTTCCGTAGTCCATTTCCTCCCTCACCCCACCTCAGATACCGTCAGTTGAAGACCTGGAAAAGTCACTGGAAAAATCAAAGAAATTAGAAGAAAACCTCCGCCTCTCTTACCATTTCAGGCATACCTCGTTTTATTGCACTTCGCTTTACTTCATTTTCCACATGTTGCTTTTTTACAAATTGAAGGCAAGGCCCTCTACCAGCAATAAAATTATGACTTGCTTTATTGTGATACTCACTTTATTGCAATGGTCTGGAACCAAGCCCTCGATATCTCTGAGGTGTGCCCGTGTATCAATAACCTACCTATATTTATTTCTATATATTCTGCCCTCCCACAGTTACCATGAATGAATTGTTCTAGTCCTTATCTAAAGACAAATCCTGAATACATTCAGTAGCTCCTATCACTTCTTGACAACCTAAAAACAATGCTAGAGAAATTGCCCATGATCTTCCCTACATGATTAACTTTCCTTTTTTAATTGATGACATCCATCCACAAGTAAATATGTTCTAACATTTCCCAGGGTTACAAAACAGTACCAAAAAATCTCTTTTTAAACCATACATCTCTCTCTAGCTTTCTCTCGTTATTTAACTTCCTTTATAACAATGAGCCTCAAGAGTTATCAACACTTATTGTTTCTACTGACTTTCTTCTTGTTCTCTCTTGAACTCATGTAAATGAGACTTCTGACCAAACCCTCCAGCAAAGCAGTCCTTTTCAGAATTAAAACATATCTCTGTTTAGTCTTCACATGAATGTTTTGGAGTTCCACTGACCTTTTCCGTACTACCCCTAAATCCTGCTGTCATCAATCATTTTAATTTCGGAATGTTTTTATTTATTGCTGTTCTCACTACTACTGAGCTATTATATTTAATAGGGTTATAAGTAAGTTTCTTTTCTAAAGTTTTATACTTGTCTTACTTGGTAAAGATGAAATAATTAAATACACTAAAAATTTTCAGTTTAACAACAACAAAAAAATACACTATTCTTCTAAATCCTTCTCTCTCTTCTGTGAAATATTTCAGCTAGGCCATTTGTCAGCTATAAGATGTCAAATCTGTGACTGTTTTGGAAAGAGAAAGAAGAAAAAGAACAGAAGATTAACCTACTGAATGTAAGAGTTCCTTTTTCCCACCCTGTCACCAAGGTCAGAAACCCAGGTATTGGGCGGTAGACTGGGAGAAATAAAGAAGCTGCCTCTCGCAGCCACCAGAGCTCCCTGCAGAAGGAGGGTGAAGGTGTGGGAACTTCCCTAAACAGCCCTGTCTGGGACTGCTGTGAGCAACCCGCACTGGGTGAAAGGGCCCAGTCATCAGGGCAGAAGACAGAGAAGTGGAATGGGAATGCAGAGAAACAACAGTTGATTTTACCAGCCCACTAAATAAAAAAGACAAAGGACACAACTAAACAAAATCAGGGATGAAAGAGGGGAAATTATGACTGATATCACAGAAATACAAAGGATCAGACAAGGATACTATGAAAAAGTATATGACACCAAATTTAATAAACCCACACTGAGGAAGGGCCCAGTCATCAGGGCAGAAGACAGAGAAGTGGAATGGGAATGCAGAGAAACAACAGTTGATTTTACCAGCCCACTAAATAAAAAAGACAAAGGACACAACTAAACAAAATCAGGGATGAAAGAGGGGAGATTATGACTGATATCACAGAAATACAAAGGATCAGACAAGGATACTATGAAAAAGTATATGACACCAAATTTAATAACCTAGAAGAAATGGACCAGTATTTAGAAAAATACAACCTTTCTATACTGAATCAAGAACTAGAAAATCTAAATAGACAGATCAGCAGAATGGAAATTGAAACAATCATCAAAAACCTACCAAAAAGAAAAAGTCCAGGACCAGATGGCTTCACCAGTGAATTCTACCAAACATTCAAAGAAGACTTAATACCTATTCTCCTCAAACTCTTCCAAAAAATCAAAGAGGAAGCAATACTTCCCAACTCATTTTATGAGGCCAATATTACTCTGATACCAAAACCTGGTAAAGATAACACAAAAAAAGAAGAAAACTACAGACCAATATCTCTCATTAACACAGATGCAAAAATCCTAAAGAAGATACTAGCGAACCGAATATAGAAACTTATTAAAAAGATTATACACCATGATCAAGTGGGCTTAATCCCAGAGACACAGAGATGGTTCAGCATACACAAATCGATTAGTGTGATACACCACATAAACAAATTAAAAAATAAGAATCATATGATCTCATCAATAGATGCAGAAAAAGCCTTTGAAAAGATATAGCATCCATTTATGATCAAAACATTTAACAAAATCGGTATAGAAGGAACGTGCCTTAACATAATAAAAGACATCTATGACAAACCCTTTGCCTATATTATACTTAGTGGTGAAAAACTAAAAACCTTCCCTCAAAGATCAGGAAGAAGGCAAGGCTGTCCACTATCGCCACTGCTATTCAATATAATATTGGAGGGCCTAGCAAGTACAATCAGCAAGAGGAA